TTGTATTAATCTCAGCAAATACATCAGAGGGCTAAGTAAGGCTCTAACAGAGCTTCTTTGTAAAGCAGTCTCTGTCCTCCGCAGGGCACAAACTAATCTGAATAAGCTAATATTCGTTAACACACGAAGCCACCTTTTATAAAAATGCGCTTATGGATATTTTGAAGAGTTAAAATATTATACTCATTCAGTTATGAATTTTATCCCAATTTTTAAGCTGTTAAATATTGGACTTTATATATTAACACAGCATTACCTGTATTTTTTAACATGGCTTTCATTATGATCATTGAAGTTTGATGTGATTTTTTTTGCTGATTATTTCTTCTAAGAAAACTTCTATAAAACTTATTGTGTATTAAACATTTCAGTATTATTCACAACTAAACATACACAAATAGTGTTACTGTTTCTGCCATTGTCTCAACACTGAGATTTGGCTAACAACATCCATCTTTATTTTCATAAAAATTTATATAAAGACTTACCACACAGTGACTTACTACACATCTTAAAACCTAACAGAATTACTATGTACATTCATTGCAAAAAAAACCTTTTATTTTCTAGTAAAATTTATCCTAGATGTTTAATTTTTACAATGGCATACCCTAAACTATGTTTCTTCTATGAAGAATATAAAGACAGATACCTTGTAAATAGCTTCAATAAAACGCAAGTCACTCTTTGCTGTGAGTTCCACATCGCACTTTACCAAAAGCTCTGCTATGTAAGTTGAAAAAGATGTAAAAGAATAGCTGATGATAGGTAAAAATGCAGCTGGATCACCTTTTACTAGCCTATTGAGAAACAAAAGTACTTTACACAGCAGAAGACAACAAAGCATTTCATTATGCGAATTCAAACAGTTTGAAAGGTGTTTTAATATAGACAGTATGTTATGTCCAAGTATCTCCTCAATTTCTTTTTTTTTTTCCCCAGGCATCTCTCATTCAGCAATTTTTACTGTTATCTGCAAACGCTCAAATCAACATTTTTGTGACTCTCGTGATTTTAACATTGTCCAGTCTAAAGCCCATCAGCACTGTCATCTTGACATTCAACACTTTTTTTCTTCAATACTTGCAAGATGAAATTCACTAGCAACTACAGAGAAAATTATAAAGGTGAGAGATTAATCAAAGAAATGAGGAAAACAGAGAAGAAAAAATGAGCAAGATAGCAATATACTTCAGTGTACACCGAAGATACACTTCATGATTATTACAAGGATTCTCAGAACAGCAAAACTACATCCTTTTATCTTCCAGTTCGCATGTAGCAAACCCCCAGCTTCCCACAGACATATGCTTGGCTTATTCATCACTGGGTACAATGCCAATGTTTATACATATTTTGTTTACACATCTTGCTGTCATCATATATTAGAATAAATTTATTTACACTACCACTTACACTGTATAATCCACATCTCTTGGATAATTTATCAAGCGAAGTCCTTGCTCTATTTTTCTTATACTTCCTTTTAGGTCTCCTGTTGCCATTATTCCAAATACTATCCTTCTCTAGATTATGAAAGAAATGCAATTCTCCCCCTTAAAAAAAAAACAAAACACAAAACAACAAACACAAAAATTATAAAATGCAATATAGTCATCACTGAAATTCAAAGGGTTTTGCTCCTCTTTTCTAGACATGACCATTTCCAAAGTGCTACAGTACAGCACAGAGCTACAGCTCAATACCAACTAATTATCAGTCATCATCATTAATTCTAAATAGGACCAATTACTAATCCTCAACCCGATCAACTATCAAAAAATCTTTAAAGCTATCTGGAAGCATTTAAAGAATTTAGTGCCAGTTAAATCCACTAAAACTGAGTGAAAACAAGTTTCTTCTCTGTTTTAATGGAGCAGAAAGCCCACAAGCAGTGAAAGGCTTTTGCATTTTTCAGTTTTGAATGCTGCTTATTCTTTGTTCACCTGGCCCCAAGCTCACTGGCCAAGAGAGCAATGTTTGGATGAGTAAACATGGGAACGCAGGCTAACAACTCACCACAGACAACGCTTTTGTATCTAGATGATCCATTAAATACATCTAAAATTGTTCATGGGGAAGAGGGTAGCAGACTGCCTAAATATTTCAAAATAGGTACAAGTTTATTGATATGATAATCAAAAGGTCCCTGTTTAGCTTCTACATTGTAACACGAGTTGAGAACCCACTTTCTATTTACTTTACTTTGCAGAAGAAAGAGGACTTCTAAGGACTTGGACAGAGGACTTCTAAGGACATCTAAGGACTTGGTGCAAACTACAGAAGGTGCCTTTCTCCCTGCAGAACTATCCTTCAAAGAAACTGAAGACTTCAAGAAAGGGGTGTGGGGGGAGGGAGAAAAAAGGGGGCAAAGCGACAACAAAAGAATCAGCAAAGCATAAAATCACCATCATCCAAACCAAATTTTACATCTATCAAAGGAACACATAAGTACAGGAAGCTCCTACTTTTAACACGTTATACCAAACAAAACTGATTAGTAAATTCTCAAATGGAAGAGGTGGCTGGGGAATACTGGCAACTCCACCTGGCTGGCTGGCTGGCAGTAAAATTAAACACCTGCAGCAGTACCTTCAAATATCAGTACTAATAATTACCTTAAAGAACCCTGTCCTCACTCCATTGCTTCAAAATACACTTATATTTAGAGACAGCCTATGAGTCCTATGTAATCTACCTTGCAACCATTTGTTTGTAAGCAGCCAGTATTAATTAGCTCTTCTCCAATACAAGGCTTTAAAAGCAAAGAGCTGGGCAGTCACCCAGTCTGAGGTCACAACTGAAAACCAAGACCTTGCATTATAGTAATCTGGACAGGCTGACAGGACTTTAGAAAGTCTATTAGCAAACTGCCAAACTGTTTTTTCAATGGTTTAGAGAAAAAAACAAGGGTGGGGGAGGGAGAGAGAACATTAGTGAAAGTACAGAAGTACAGACTGACACTTCACAAAAACAGCTCTCCTTCATCACAACCTTGAGATCTGCTTGTGACTGGCTTAATCCACTACTTTACTTCCCCCAAAAGCCTCAGTAATGATTTCATCTATAAAGCCTTCGAATAGAAATTTAATGCTCTATTTTCTGCTTAGAACCTGGGAGATAATTGCCTGCCACTGTCTACACTGAATTGCTTTTCTTGACACAAAACATACTTTAAGCCTACCAATCCAAGCAGTAAAGAGGCATTACCAGAAAGCATGGAAGAGATATCCTTGAGATACAGCATTTTATATATTTTTTCTTGCTGACACCTGACATTCAGACCAAACACTCCAAAGACATTATCATAACTCTTGACAGGTACTCCAGTTTGCAGCCTTGTTATTTGGTCGTATTCACTTTAGCAATAGGTCTTCCTGAAAGGATTTTCGACCACACACATCTATTGGGGGGGGGGGGGGGGCGGAAAAGCAAACCAAACCAACCAAACAACCCCAAACAAAGAAAATAATGCCAACAAAACCCACAACACCACCCAACAGTTAAAGCTTGCACTCCCAATGGTATGGGTTTATTTTGACGGGGGGTGCCTTTCCCTCCCCCGCCCCTCTTCTTGTGTCTCTATGATGCTCAAATCAACAATCATCAAGATGAAGGAAGATCTTAACACGTGTTCTGCCCTTTTTAAAGTATTTTCTTCCTATTTAATTATCAGGTTCTTGCTCTTTAATCATTAGGGTCGTGACAGAACTATACAATACTCTTTGTTAAAAGCTAGGGACAATTCAACCTCAAGCATTTGGAAACTGAGGCAGCTGTTTTTCCCACCTCACCTTACAAAGTGATCCACCCTATGGTTTTGCCAACCTAACCAGATCTCAAGACAAATCTCAAAGAGTCTGCTGTAAAACTGAAGCACTAATCTGCAACACAAATACTCACAGAAGACACTCTCACAGGAATTCATCTAACCATACAGGCTGTTTCCCAAAATCATCAACAATCCTTTCTATACCATGCCTCTGGATGTAAAAACTGGCAACTGCCATTAGTACAAACTATACAGCTTGGGAGAGCATACAAATAACAGTTAAGTAGGTAGAAAAATAATACTTTGGGAAGGTGTACACTAAAAAGTGGCATATAAGTTTTGCCTGTAAGAATTCGTGACAGAACAGTTACAGAACATTGGCTACCCAGAGTAAAATCAGGTATAACAAAGTTTTAATATAGAACCACATATAGTTTATAAAGAACAACTCTCAAAACTGCTTACGGTATTCAAAGAGGCAATGAATGTCAAAAAAAAAAACAAAAAACAACTAACACACAAAAAACCCCACCCAACCCCCACAAAAAAAACCCACAAACATGCAAGTTACCAAATATTTTAGAGTTGTAAACACTGAAATGCCTAACGAAAAAGACTTGTTTTCGTTATTCATATGATCCTTAAGGTCCCTTCCAACCTAGTTTACTACGATTTTGTGACTCTTCTGTTACATGGGATGGGGAGATGGAGGGGAACACCCTTATACCCAGACGCAAAATCATCAAACAGTGGACTTCGCTACCGTGCCGGCTGCCGCAGACACACTCAGGACACACACCATGTTTGCAAACGAGTGAACCGCACAAGGAGCTGCATGTCACAGGCCGGTTGTCCTGGGCGCCATCAAAACACCGGCGGAAAAAAAAAAAAAAAAAATCGTGTCCCAGCCGTAGGCAACGTCGACCGCTGTCCCGGAGCCGCGCCAGCGCACCGAGCCGAACTCGCAAGAGCGGGACGGGCTCCCCAGCTGCCACTGCTCAACCCCAGACCCGCGGAGGCCAGGCCTCCCCCGCTCCGCCCCGCGATTCAGTCCAGGAGGAGAGGGAGTGCTCTGGGCTCGGAGCCAGCCCCTGCCCCGAAAGGGATACCGACGCTCACCCGCGCCCACTGCCGCCCCTGCTGCCGGACCCCCACCTACTCCGAAAAGCGGCTGCCCCGCTACCTCTCCTCAAGACTGCTGCGGCTGCAACCGCCGGCGGGTACAGACCGAATCTACCGCCGCAACACCCAACAGCTGCTTCCGCTTCCTGCGCGTCCCGCGAGGTGACGTCACTTCCAGCAAAAACAGCAAACGTCAAACCTGCCAGGCAAGGGGACAGGGTGCTGGCGGTCTCTCTGCTTGCTGAGGGGTTTCTGCTGCTCTCACCGCCTCTCGCACCGCCGGGGGCTGCTCAGCCACCTCCTGCCCGGCGAGGCTCACGCACGGACTCGGGCCGGGCTCGTCGCGGCGGCGGTTGGGACCCGAACTCGCACAGGTACGGACCCTGCGGCTTTCCCTTGGGGAACCGGTGACTGCGGATGGGCGAGTCGCGCATCCAATCGAAAGCCGGGGCCACTGGGGAGGCCCAATGGCTCCGGGGGGCGGCACCCGCGGGGCTAGGATCGCCGGTGCCCGGTGGCTGGAGTTCTGCCGTGTCCCGGCCTGCGGCAGCAGAGGTCTCGGTTCCTGTTCGTGGGAGGTGGCGAGCGGGACGGTTTTGGTGTTCTTTGGGCGGCGGGAGTGCAGCCGCGGCCCTCGGCGAGGGGGTTCCTAGGGCGCTTCTGTCAGCTGGGGCGGCCCTGAGCGTGAGGGACTTGCTGTGCCCCTGGAGCCGCCGCGTAGTTGCCTTGAGTTGGGTTTGAAAGGCACTTCCGTCAAGGTATCGCAGGCCTCGGTAACCAGTACAGCTGCGACGAACGAAGCTTCAGGTTCGGTAACGCGGAGGAAGAAACATTTCCCTGTTCGGATAATCGCGGTAGCCAAGCGGCAGCTGTAGGACTCAGTTGCCATGAGGTGGAGAGCGTTTATATCGAATGTCGGGTTTTGTTTCATAAAGCAGAAACCAGTACCAATACAGCATTGTAGGATACATTTAGCTTTTAGTATCCTTCAACACTGCAGAAGAATTTATTGTGCACTAACAAAGCGACATGCAGAAGACATAATTAAAATTGAAAGCAGACTCTTGACAGATAACAGACAGAGCCAGAGAATATCAGCAATCCATAAGCAAGCTTGTTATTTTTACTGTGACAGTTATTACAGTCAAGCTGTCAAAAGGTCTCTGTTAAATAAAGTTACATAACTGGAATTTTTGAGACATTTGAGAAACGTACATTTGAGTGGAGAGAACGGTGATGGAAAGTGTATGTTCAAAATAATTTAAAACTATAATTCTAGACACCTTACTTAAAAGTCTTTGTAATAACAGTTAGTTTACACATCTTGTTTCATGAATGATTTCTCAAAGCATTAATCCTGGATTACTACAGAGTTTATAGGGAAAACAAGATGTGATATAACAAATGGCATATAAACTGGCATATATAGCTACACACATACAAAAGCTTGTGAATTTCCAGTGGCTGGTTCTCAAATGGTTTAAATTGTCTCATTTTGTTTCTTCTCTGAAATTTCTTCATTTGGTACTTTGAAGAGGAAATTTCATTTTTTAATCATTTTTTAATATTAAAGATACCTTTAAAATTATTTCTGCAGTGATATCCTCTGTATAAGTATGTGAGTGCATTTTAAGAAGGCCAGTTTATTGAATGACACAGAATGTTTTTTTTTTTTCTGTCTTGAAGCCATTTCTAGTGTCAGATAATTTGGAAGTGCTTATGTTGTTGGTGATTATAGCAGTTAGCTTTTGTGTGGGGAGAAGAACCCTGTGAGCCCTGACAGGAACTGTTGATAATTTTGTTAGCTCAGTATTCCTTAATGGAAAGTATTTTGTGAACAGGAACTTCTAGCTGAATATTTCAATAAAGGTATTACACTAGCAACTTTGGTTTTGGATATTTGGATATTTGATTTTGGTCCTTTGTGACCACTACCAAATTCTTTACAAGTACTATGTACTGAGCATGAAGATAATCTGACTTTGAAGAGGTTTAAAAGCTATAATAAGATTGCCAGATGCTTACCTGGTACCATAAATTCACTTGATAACTGACTGGGCACAGCCCTTCTGTGGACTGTTTATGGTAATGCTGCTGGTCATCTTCTCTCGTCTTCCTGGTGTATTATGATTATGAATCTTGTCACCATATAATTCTTAAATGATCTTCAGAGCCTTGAGTTTCCTGTTACTACTTTTTTTTCTTTTATTTAAACTATGATAAATAATTATTTTCAGAAGATTTTTGACAGTTGGGAGATAACAAATGTGTATAGAAATGTGGTTTTGTTATAATGATATCAAATTATGTGAAAAAAGGTAGAAAAAAATTACTAGCAAAATAATTTCTCTAATCTGTTTTACAAAAAGTTAGCTGACAGATTTATGCATTTAGCAGAGTGTTCCTTTCTCTCTACCTGACATATATTGTTTGCATAGAATAGGTTCTCTCATTTCATCTTTTGTGAAATGTAAGGTTTAATACTGCAGTGTCATCATATTTCTTCTTGCTGATTTCCATTGTCTTAAGGACTTGAAATAATAAAGAAGGATTATTAAAGCATTGCTCTTGGTTCTCTCTGTCCCTGAAACTAGTATTTTGGTCTTAGCTATTTTATTATTTATAGTCAGTGCTATATTTTCAGGCAGATTTTGTTTTTACATGAAAAGCTGCACTGAGAAAGTGTGCAGATTATACTGGAGTTACACCTAGATGTGTATGTATACATTTACCTCTTTTGAAACTTACATAATTGAATCGAAAGGTCATTATTATTCAGTCCTTCAGATCATCTGATATCTTCTGAGAGTGAAACAGCCTCTAAATTTGACATCTGCATATTTGAAAGTAAAATGCCTTGTTGGCGGTGTTCAGTTTACTCAGGGCTAAGATCAAGAATTGGTTGAAGCCTCCCAAGATGTTTAAATTCCTTTAGATATACAGTACTGCTTACCAAGTACTTGAGTAACTAGCAAGCTCAGATACAATGACTGGCAAAATAGGAGCTTTTTTTATCTTAATTGAACCCTCTAGCACAGTGATAGTAGCCCTTTCTGAAATGTTGCACATGCTCAGAAATATTGTATTTCTTGTCTGCTCTTTTTATCCATTGGGAAAGTTACCTCCATCGAGCCCTTGGGTGTTACAGCCTACCCACACAAGTTGGTGTTTAGCTTCGTTCTTCACTGCTCATCACTGTATACTCTGCCAGCTTAGCAGGGGCAATAGCAGCAACAGTTGGAGTTGGAGCAGACTTGATGAGCTTATGCTTGTAGTCCTGAATGCCAGTTCTGGCACGCCTGCCACTGATTCATTTAATAGCTCTTGATTTTATTCTAACAGTGGTTGGTGATCCTCCTTTGGGATGAAAGTTAGTAACTTCCTTCTCCTTGGAGAGATGTAGTTGTTCAAAACCAGAAAAAGGTAGCACTGAGCAACCGCATCTCTTTTCTAAAAGTTGCTACCTTATATTTTAATCTAGCTTAGCAATGAAAAATAAAGGCAGAGTTCTTCATCTTGTGAAGAAATATGTTTTATATACAGCTGAAACTTTCATAATTGCAAACACCAGCATTAATTACCAAGACCTACTTTCATCATCCTTGAGTTGTCACTTTTTACATGGCAGATTGTGGCATAGCTTCCACTCATGAAACAGCTTTACCGTAGCCCTAAGGACTTTTAAAAATTTTTATGCTGTTCTCAAGAAAATGAGAATACCTTCTTTATGCATACATTCTTGCAGCCAGTGGTATATCCTACTTGTGGTTGCAACTCAGTAAGCCTTATTTTTAATTGCCTGGTAATTTATAGAAGTTGATCATGGTTTAATCTGTCTCTGTACAATAAAAAAAAAAAAATAAGTCAAATGTTTGTACAAGAAATACGAATAATAATAATAATGATGAATTTATGTAAAATCTTGCATATTACTAAATTGAATATAATACATATGACTATAGTTTCTTCACAACTTTGGCCTTATCTAGGAATAAATTCTTAAACTTGCCCTGAATGGATGGTTATGTAGATAACAGCTTCACTAGCCAGATGAACCTGTCTTGTGTTGACTTCCATCTTGATTGTGGTGGGGTTTTTTTCCTGTACTTTATCTAATTTCTCCATTTTCTCCCATAATTACTCATCGCATTCATGGCTTGTTTCTTTCAGCTTATGTAGAACAGTTTCCATTCATGTCCAACCTTAAATAGTGTTAAAACCCTGTTTTTCATTTCCCATGCTAATAGAATATGCATAATTTCAAATACACGTGAGATCTTAGCAGACCAGACCATCAGTGTTTCTTTTTTGAAAATCAGCATTGGGAACCTACAGATTACTGGTATGATTACTTTAGTGATCTGTCATCATAATAAAGGTTGAAAAATGATCACCATATATATACTACTTGTGATAAGGTTACGATAACATTATCATACTGAATTACTAAGATTTATCATACTATTTTTCCCTCTTGATAAATATAGGTGGTTACCGAAATTTAAGTTATGGCATTCAGAAATCTTGACAACTAACTAAGTCATTCAGGATCTGTTCTCTTTGTTCTCATCTGCAGCGAAGTTTGACAAAAAATAAAAACCCCACAGTGATAAGTAAAATATGGAAGTCTTATTCTGAAGTTTTTATGCTACTGTGCAGGAAACCTTGAAAAGATATTTTGGTATTTTGGTTGCTGTCATGGTTTAAACCCAGCTGGTAACTCAGAACCATGCAGCCGCTCACTCACTCCCCCCCCCCCCCCACTTTCTCCCTCCACTCCCAGAGGGATGGGGAAGAGAATCAAAAGAATGTAAATCCCACGGGTTGAGATGAGAACAGTCCAGTAACTGAGGTATAACACAAAACCACTACTGCTACCGCCAGTAATAGTAATAATGATAAGGGAAATAACAAGGGGAGAGAATATAAAACTAAAAGGGGAAAAGATAACAATAAATACAGGTGATGCACAATTGCTCACCACCCGCCAACCAATACCCAGCCAAACCCGAGCAGCGATCTGGGCCTTCCGGGTAACTCCCCCTGATTTACATACTGGGCATGATGCGCTGTGGTATGGAATACCCCTTTGGCTAGTTTGGGTAAGGTGTCCTGTCTCTGCTTCCTCCTGGCTTCCCGTGCCCCTTCTCACTGGCAGAGCGTGAGAGACTGGAAAGTCCTTGATCGGAATAAACATGACTTAGCAACAACTAAAAGCCTTATTGTGTTATCAGTGTTGTTCTCAGACTAAAGTCGGAAACACAGCAGTGCATCGCTTATTAAGAAGGAGAAAAATAGCTGTTACAGCTGAACCCAGGAGAGTTGCTCAGAAACAAGAAACTGACAAGAAACAATGAATCCTTTATGCATTATCATTAAAGTTTTTAAACTTTGTATTAATGTCAGGCACAGCCTAATTTTGTGTGCTTCTCACTATTCAGGACATTGTTATATCTTCTTACATTTTATAGCACTTCACTGACTCTACATAAGATATTTTTATTACATTTTAAAGGAAGTTTGAAGATAATAATTCTAAATGTTCTGAAGGTTAAGGCTTCTTAACTTGCATAGGACATAGATAATGTTTGTTACTATTCACAGAAGCTTAGTATTAATTTTATAACTCTTCAAGCACAAAAGCTTTTGTAAAAATATCAATTTTTATGGTTTTTTTTTCAGTATTTATTCAGTTGCTCCACTGAAGACAGATTATATTGTCAGCATAACTTTGACAAAACTCACCTTTTTCTACTCGGATCAGTCCTAAAGTTTTATTTTTCTAGTGTGTGCTGAGTCTGTCTTGCAAATATTCATAAATAGCTGGCAACATTTAATTTGGATTTTATGTCCAGCAGGCTCACAGATGGGTCAGGGACTCTGGAGAGTTGCTAGGAGCCAGCAACTGCAACACCAAGGATACAGTGGACAAGGCTATTTTACCAGAGAACATGGTAGGAGGATAGCTACCAACAGTGTTTCCAATACAAGCCATCGAAAACAAGCCCAAGGAGGCATTGATATCTACCACCTGTTGAAGACCAGAAAAACTAAAGAACAAGAAGGATTCATTAACCTGGAAATGCTGCCACCAGAGCTTAGTTTTACCATTTTGTCATACCTGAATGCAACTGATCTCTGTCTAGCTTCATGCGTCTGGCAGGATCTTGCTAATGATGAGCTTCTTTGGCAAGGGTAAGCAAAATAAGTAAATAAATTTTAAAAAATCACCTGGACATAAATATAAATAATTATCAGATTTTAAATTTGTCTCAATATATGATTTTTGTCACAGTAACCTTAGAAAAGGGTTTGCTAAGTTAAATGAGATTTGACACAGGGGAAATATGAATATAGTTTAAAAATGTGTTATTCTGGATTTCTAATTACAATCAGGTAGTAACAGATTACTACATACGTAAGTGTGCTTGGCACAAGTATACATGTGTATTACTGCACACTCATTGTTTGATATATCATGAGGGAAAAAATAAGGACTTGACTTTGGTATTAGCTCAAAGCACATCTCAAATGTATGTATTATTACTTCTCTGAACCTCAAACAAATATCTGGCTTAAGCAAACAGACCTATTCAGCAGGAAATCCAGGTAGAAAGGGATTCTAACTCATCTAATACACTTGTCTTAGTGCAACTGAAGTGTATATATGTTTTTTTGGAAGATGGTGATGAAAGGGGGGAAGAAAAGGTCAGTTCTGCACGTGTCAGGTGGAATTTCTGCAGTCTAACGGTTGAAAAACATTTATATACATACAGAGAGTTTGTATGTCCAGGAAACAAAGAAATGCTCTACCAAATAGTGTAAGATAAAAATTTAATTAAAACTATTTTCTTTGATATTTGATGTTTTGCAACACTAGGAAAGACTCATGAAATCATACTTATTTTTAGAGTAGATGGTCAGCCGAACTTGTATCTTTTTTCACATTATATTCTTACCTTTTAACTTAACAGACAGTAAGAAGTATTACTGCTGGGTTGTTGTTCAGGTCCTGTTTAATTCCCTTTCATTGTGTTCTACGTCTCTTCCTTCATCTATTTCTTTGCCTCTCTGCATTTGAGTTAAGCAGCTTCCCTTCTTATCATGCTTTATGAACTCAGCAATAGGGTTAATGCAATTATAACTTCTTAGTCACAATTGTTCTACTGTTGGGGACTATTTTCTTAGTAGGAAACAGGAATTCTAGTGAAGATCCTGCTAACCTTCTAAGTTTATGTTGGTATCCATTGTATTTTACTCAGTTCTTGGTATAAAAAAACCACACTAAATACAAATAAATTCCCTGGACCAAAGATAATAGAGATTCTTAATTGTATATAGTATATATTCTTAACATACAAGGGAAAAAAAAATACATATTTTCCACAGAGTTCATCCTAGGAAATAGCTCAATCATTTTTAGTAAAATTTTCCCAAATAGTACTCAGTTCAGAGTATACACGTTGTTAGTGAAAATGTGTCCTGATTTAGCAAATTAATAAAGATTTCAATTTGAATAATCTCTATAGATGTCTTAGTTTTCAACATTACGTATGCATTGGGATATGTTTGATTTTTAGGCTTTGGCAAGCCCTGTGACTGCAGTTCTGAATCCAGTCCAAATTAAACCCATGTTCCTGAACTGAAAACAAAGTCACTTCCCACGTCCTCAGTGGCTACCTGCTGGGTCCTAAACATTGTGTCTAATTATTTGCAAAACAGATGCGTTGAAGCAGAACTACCAGTTCAATAAGGAATCTAGATAACAAATTGATTGCCCAGGAAGTGGAAGTTCAAGGCGATTTTAGATGGTGTCATCAAAGAGACTGAGATGAACATAAGCCGATGAAACTGAGATATGGAGTCAGGGTGTGATGAGAGGGAAAGAAACTGAGAAGTAATGGAAGATATAAAGGGATGGGGCTGGATTGAAGAACTGGGACTGGTCAAGACTGGAAAGAGGCCAGGTGGGTGGAAAAGGACAGTCAAGGAAAGCAATAAGTTAATGGCATAATTTTGTGCAGATGTAGTGTCCCACTCACTGTACAACTGGGGCACAGGAAAAGAAGCACAATTTTTTAATCTGTCATACTGCTGCAGAGCAACTTGTCACAGTTACCCACTGTTCAAATACTAGAAGTGACAGAAGTCTCAGCTATGTGGATGTTGTTATGATGCCACCTACTGGGACATGTTTTGAGATTGCACTCAAGAACACCAAAACCTGTGAGAAGAAAATGATAATCATATAACTGAAAACTTCAGCAACACACATATAAAAGGATTAACAACTAAGTGTAACAAGCAACCTATTTCTAACTTTTCCTATAATTTGAGTATTTGACTTTGCAGTCTTGATTACATTTTGCTTCTGTAAAATACATGAAATACAGAAAGGAATTTTGATAATAGACTAATTCTATTTTCACAGGTTGTGCAAATCCACTTGGGGTCACTGTTCTATATACAATAAGAATCCACCTCTAGGATTTTCTTTTAGAAAATTGTATATGCAGCTAGATGAGGGCAGTCTCACCTTTAATGCCAACCCTGATGAGGTAAGTGAACTGTTATTGATAGTAGCAAACAGTTAAATAATTGTGATTGTTGTTTTATAATCATAGCTGTATTAAATGCTAAGTTTTAATAGTTGTTGTTTGGGTTTGGTTTTTTTTTTTTGTTTTAACATAGGAATGGTTAATAGTAAGTTACAGCCCTATCCTGATAATTTTTGCAGATGGTACCTGTGCACATCATTAACATGGCTTGCTTCTTAAGCACTCTGTACAGTGGTCTGACCTATGAATTCCAGAAATTCATAACCTCATACTGACTTAGGAATGAGACAGGTATCCTGTACTGTGGAGACAGTGGTGAATTTAAAATGAATGATAATAGGCCTGCAGAGTTAGTTTGATCCCACATCAGTTATAGCAGGGTAGTTAAAGTAACACAAATTACTTCTATGAAATTTATGGTTTCTTATAAGAGATTTTTTTAAAGTATTTCCACTATCAAGGAGCAAATCTTGAAATAGTATGAAAATAATACTATGAACTATTCTAAAGATCGGTTTGATTTGATATCTGTGGATGTTTATTATGCATAATCTTTCTTTATAGTATGTAACAACATAGTTATTTTCAAAAAATACCCCCTGTCAATCTAGAAGGTTTCCATATATTAATGCATGAAACTAACTGGGAAAGTCAGTTTCTGCTTTCACTCTGTCACCTTTCAAAGAAGAAAAGAGCTTGAAAGTAGACAGCTTTTGCCTGGGAGATATGCAATTAATGCCCAAGTGACAAAGAGAGCCTTTTGTGTAGGAAACCAGACTCCTGCTTCATGTTTCCTAGGAAAAGGTGGTACATAGTACAGAACAAAAAGTAGTGTTAACTTCCTGAATGTATTTGCACATACAGAAGGAAGTGGTAATTGAATAAATCCAAAGTAGGAAGAGGATTAAGAGACATGAAAAGGTACACTTCTAGGAGCAAATAGTTCACTCTGCTGATATACACAAAACACAAACATGTAACTGCAGGGTGAAATAAATAAACCAGTTGTATCGTTACAATAATGTCATGTTGTTTAATTCTTGCTTTATCTCATATTCTGCTTGATAATAACTACTCTTATCAGTCACAAATTACAATATTTTGTAATTTCTCTGTTAGAGCTCTGCCTTGAACTGTTATACAAAGTGCCACTTGAGTGATTAGCATTGATTTTCAGCAGGATTTTAGTGAATTTAGTAGTAAATGTAAAATTTTCTAAATGAAACGCAATATTTAGGTAACTTAAATGTTTTTAAGAATATATCAAGTTTTAGTTGGTAACAGCTTTGTCTACCCAAATTTCTCTTTGTCTTTCAATTTGCTTTAACGTTTGTTGTTTTTTTTTTACACTTATACCTTCATTTATAGTATGCTGTTGTATTCCAATCTAATTTAAAGTAATCTTGGCAGGTTTAAAGCATTTGGAGTCTTCACAAAAGGCACTGGATAAAAAAATCGTTATTTTACAAGTTCTGCAAATTAGAGCTACCTTGTAGTATACCTAAATTAGTTATTAAATTTATTATCCTACACTTACTTTTTCTGGCTTCATTATGGTATATTGTACAATAGTAGTACAAATGGCCTACTTCAGGCCTAATGAGAGACAAGAACCTCAGGATACCTCCTAAGGGCTTCTGTTCCTCTCTCCCTGTGGAGCACCATAGCCTGGTAGGAATCATTCAGGGCCTGAGTTTCAGGAGAATTCACAAATACTATTGCTTGTATTGTTCACGACTGTGGTATTGGCAGCATTATGACTGTAAGGACACTGTGACTGGAATATATGATATGACATGACATTCCACTATTACAAATTGCATCTCCGAATTTCCTGCCAAACTCTGCTTTACATTTGATAACAGACCTGATCAAATTACTATAAAAATAGGAATACTTACAGCCACAGGAGCAAGATTCTCCAAAGGACACCTCCCATGTCATGAAAATGGGTAACCAGGCTCCACAGCAACAGCTCCAGAGCTAGCGGTGGCTCACGGGGTAGGGAAGAGCATCTACACACTTTGTGGTAGGATTCTCTGGTTAGCCATTGTTGTGTGCATGGTGTTGTGGTATCTGCTGTAATTTAATGTACTGATCGTGTGCATGAGCTTGCATAATACATAGCAGGTGCTCACATTCTGCTGAAAGGATGTGCCTAATCACATTACACGTAATCTAAAACAAAAAAGCTAAAAAACTCCAGTGCATGTTTGGTTTCTCTTTTTTTGTTTGTTGGTTGGTTTTGGTTTTAGGTTTGTGGGTTGTTTTGTTTTTTTTTTTTGTTTAGTGTTTGGTTTGGTTTTTTCATATTGGCAGCACCATTGTAGCCAAGATTTTGGAGCTTGTTTTTTGTTTCCTGGGGAGGAGGGATGGTTTAGTGTTAGTATTAACACTTGAATATGAATATTATGTTGTTCAATCTGCCTACGTGGTCTCTGTTATATTTTATTCTAAAGAGTGTATGGTGTATGCGAAGTGTTTCTCATGCAGTGCTCATTTCATACCTCACATGCTTATGACTTTGAATTTGTAAGCAAACAGAAGTTATTTCTCACTGTTTTGTATATGTTTCTAATTCCCTACAAGATATTTTGTCAAGTTTATTACATAGAGCTATGTTACGTAGTTAAAATTGGAACTGAAGGTGGAAAGATTGGTCAGGAAAGATTTTTTGTTTGGATTTTTGTTTTGTTTTGTTTTACATAGTGATAATGATTCTAACTGATGCTGTTTAATAGCATTTGTTTTTATGGATCTATTGGAATCTGGACTGTACTGAAATCTCAGACTTAAATGAGGTCAGGATTTCCTTTACGTACCATAATAACAATAAAGTACAGTAAGACAGTGCTTATGCTAAACCTGGCTTTCCACTCTTCCGATTGTCTTATTTGTTACCAACTACCCTTAGTTTTTGTTAGGGAGGTCAGTTTTCTGACCTCTTCTTGATTGTAAAGGAATTGTTAGCCACATGCATAAAGCTACCTTACCTGACTTTTAATTATAGTCTGCAGATGATGGAATATTTACTGTACTGTATATTTCTAGCCCAATTTTTTGAAAACTTACCCTATTTCATAGGGACCTACTAAGCGAGCCAATTTTGATATGCACTGATTTATCAAATATTAAAAGTATGTGTATGTCGTAGAGGGAAGATGTTCTTTTGTGTGATTTATCTGGAAAGGTGGAACGAACCAGAAAGCTGAAACCTTTTGAAAACTCTACATTAGAGTCAGAGATCTTTAATCGTGTAAATTATTAACTATGGATTCCATGTAACATGAGAAATATTTGTACTTATGATTTCTGCCATCATGACTGTGTATCACTGAGACTGTATTTTAAAGACATACAGTGAAAGAGACACTGTAATGTGATGTTCTGTATGGTGTCCACATTTGTCAACAACTTGATTTGTAACTTGGGAGCTAAGAATCACAAAAATTTCTGTTGGAAAATATGACATCAGTACTGCGTCTTTTGTTTCAGAAAATGCACCATAAAATGTATTAAGATATTGCATTTCCTTAGAAAAATGGGAGTAGTAATACCATACATGTCTAATTAGTATTTACTAGTAATGCTAGTGTCACCTAGAAGCCCTAATTAGCAGTTGAGGCCCTACGATGCCAGATACATACTAGCCCTAAATAATTTATCTAAGTAATTAAGCTAGTATATAAATTTGAATTCCTGTTCCCTGAGCTTTTAGTTAATAATGTTTTAATTTTGTTGGTGATCAAAATAGTCTTTTTTTTTAATACAGTAGGGACTAGAAAGAAATTAGCATTTTATGTTGATATATGTTATCCTACCAAAATGTAAAAGCATATAATTTGCAGAATTATAAATTGCCTAACAATATTAATATACTTTCTAGTGATTTCCTTAGTCACCTGTTAAAATTTTTTAAACTAAGCAAATTGAGCATGTGTACAACCATTTATGTGAAATTTGTTGCTGTAGACAAATGTATGTGTCATATTTTCTTGCACTGCTTTTAAATAGGCATTGTGTAAAAAGCCTCAGTGTTTCCTAACTCGAACTTTGCAACAATTCCATTTAAATATTAAAAAGAGAAATCATGTATATGGCTAGAAAAATGCTGATTCCAAAATTTCTATGCGAATAATTTAAAATATCTGGTTTGTTTTGTATACATATCTAAACAGAGATGGCAAAGGCAACTACAAAAATTTTAATACTGTCTGCTGTATTAAAATATTCTGAAAGTACTCTTAGCAGAGAATAAAACCAATGCAGAAGTGAAACCAATTATGAAAAAGAAAACTCTTTTCGTTTACATATCCTGTATGGATATAAATTAATGGAAAACTTCTTAGGAACAGGTAGAAAGTAAGCAAGGAGTGTCAGTCCTGTAGCAGAATAGATTGGTAAAACAAGCGTTGTGTGACTGGGAAAAAATGAGTAACTGTAAAAATAACATTGAAATACAACAAATGGTTACTATTAGTCTATAGTTATGATTGATTATTATTTGCATGTGATAATTTAAATCAACACTTTAATACATGGCAATTTTATCCAGAGCTGTCTGAAATTCAGAGGTAATATTCTTGCCACAGAGGCAAGGTATCCTTAAGGCATCTTTCCTAATTCTCTAATGTTAAGAACATTACAGTGACAAGCAGGCTCCTCATATAAGTTAGGCAGACACAGATCTGCTGGAAATCTTGGCTGTTACACTGTTCACCTAATTACTCTTCTACTACATCAGAATTAGAAGAACATACTATGTGTGTGCTCATTCCTCGGTGTTAAAACCACCTCTTCAGACCTGGTAGGTAGTGGCACAGATCTGCCAACCTGACTTCAGTCACATGTATCCTAAGAGAATCACCAGATGACTGGTAATCTTGGCATCTATTTTAATAATGTGTAGGACTAGTTATTTCAGCTAGCATACCTGCCACAAGCGATCATTTTGGCTACCAGAAGTGATTTATTTGAAGTGAAGGTTCTGAGAGGAATTCAAGGCAGTGTTTACAGTGTTACAAAAAGCTGATTTGATGACATGCTGTAAATCTTGTAAATAAATTTCATTTCCTGTGAGCCAAACTTTAAGGACTTTAAAGAGAAATCAGGTTTCTATTGTTGCAAAGTGTTTGTTGTTGTTGAGAAAGAAATAAAAGGTGCCTAAAAATGATGGCATGTGCTGAAGTATTTTTTATTTATGCCCTGTTCATTTGTGAAGGAGATGAGGAAAATAAATTACGAGACTGCATTCACAGAGAAAGATACTGTTAAGCATTATGTGTGGTGGGGGGAGAGATTGGGAATTAGAGACAGGGAATAAAAGTGCTTTGCAAAGACGTGGTTAGACTGTCAGGTGAAGATTGTACCTTGGGATGAAATCTAATGCATGAAATAAATTACTTATGGCATTTACTGTCACAGTGAAACCAACTCACTGTATGTCTTAAAGAAGGTGTTATTTTTATCCTGCCTCGTATGATATGCCAGGTATTTTCCGGGTATGTGGCTGAGGTGTTTGTTAAATAATTGTAGCAGGAATATTACCGAGACTCCCTTTCCAGGCTTCAGTTTGTATTACCTTAAGCAAATACTTATTACTGAAGCAAATGCGTCTCATTAAGTGAGGATATATGTAGAGGGTATATATGTATGTTCTGCTGCTAGTCTTTTATAAATTGCCAAAATACTTGAGGTATTAATGCATAGTTCATTTTGATCTCCCATTTTAGTTTACTATTTAGCTCTAATTCAAGAAAGCGCTTTACCTTATGTTGACCATCCATATTATGGAAAAAGTTAAATATGATGTAGTTTGGACTTAAATGTAAGCTTGCAATGAAATACATGTTTCATTACAGTCCTAAATGGAGATTCTTCTTAAAATCTGGGCCTAAAAATGCTAGGATTTTTTCTTTTTTTGGTTTTGCCTATATAAAACCTTTTAATTTATTTTCTATAACATTCTTTTAATAAACAAAAAAAAAAAAAGTGCTAATGAACTTCTATTTTCTATAAATATATAAGCAAAAATTATGGACCGGTAAAACCAGATAATGTTACAGGTATTTGTTGTTTTTTCACTTGTGTTACCAGTATCTTAAGCGTGTATTCTAATTTATTTTTTGCTTGATAAAACTGAGACTTTGCTTTAGTAATCCATTTCATAAAACAACTTTCCAAACCTGCACTCAGTCCTTTATTTCTTTTTTAAGCAAAATTGAAGAGTACTGGGAAGTTAGTTATACACTGAATGACAGGTTGCCCCTACATTTTTATAGATGTAATGTAAACTAAAAGGGCAGACTTGCAAAATATTGTGAAGCCTAATATCAGAAGATTTATGAAAAAATATCTTAGAAGTATTTTAAAGGTGATTTAGGTTGTGGCCTTGGTACATTATTCTATGCAGAAATTCTCTGGCCTACACATTTTGCATTATTTCAACACTGTGGTATAGTCAGGAGATACTGTAGTTAAGTATTGTAACACTTTTTTGTAACAAATGCTCAAAACCTCTCCTAGCCCTTGCCAAATTGAATTGAAACTAGTTGGTTAGTTATTCTGAGGTTTAGATTTTTGTTGTTAAAAAATGTGAACATGTTAAAAGTCCATTAAGCTGGTGTTGATTTCTGAGATCGTAAGGAAAATAGTTTTATGCTTTGGGATATTTCAATGAACAGAAAGAATCCAGAATATCACTGGAATATTTTTAAATTAGATTTGGCATGTGTAGTCCGTGAGAAATGTGTGCTTGGCAAAGTGTGGAAAATTCTGGAAATCATAATATCAATATAAAGTATACAGAGTTCTATCTTTTTAAACTTTTTTTTTGTTAGACACAGTGTTCTTATTTTCTGTGTACGCATATTTATAAATGTTGATATTTACCTATGCTTTGAAATCTGCGTGCTTGTGTTTATTTGCATTATTGCACATTTAAACAAATGCATTTAATGCATCTATTTGAATGTGATACATTGTATACATGTGAGAACATTAATGTTTTAATATAAGGTACTAAAGACTGAACACATTATGGCTAAGATTTTCTTATTTAGAAAAGTTAAGAAATTAAAAGTTGTGGACCCTGCATCATTGTATATACGATTACAAAAGTATGAAAACCAAAATACTAGTCTACGCTAAAGAAATTAATAAAGAACTGACATGCTTGCTATAGGGTTCATAATTTTAAATTTCTTATTGTGAGTATATGTGAAATCTCAACCATAACAATAAATTGTTTCTTTGCATTTGATTTATAATTTTAGAGTTTATTGTGCATGTCGAAATGTGATTTTGAGAAAGAAGAATCATTCTGAAAAACAAATTAACTAATTAGTAGGATTAAGTTCATACACTGCCAAGCACAATACTTGTTCCTAAACACATTATGAAGATTAAGCGTATTTATACATGCATGTATTTTATCTCAGGGAGTCAACTACTTTATGTCCAAGGGCATACTAGATGATTCGCCAAAAGAAATAGCTAAGTTTATCTTTTGCACAAGAACACTAAATTGGAAGAAGCTGAGAATCTACCTTGATGAAAGGTAATCTGAATTTCTCTTGAGACATTTCCTATTCACTGTCAACGTACTGCACCATTCAACAATATTTTGCTTGTGTTGATATAATTTTATAGATGTGTAAATGCAACTAAGTAATGCTGCTGCTAAATCTGAACAGTTACTCAGTTCAAGTATTTATTAACTGTAACATTTTATAAGAACCCCTGAAAATACCACCTATAACAAGTAAATATCACATCCTGTGCTTTTTCTGCATTTTTGCAGTTCTGGACATGAATTGTTTTGAAGTTATAGTCGGCATGTAAACTGCACAGGATAATCTTGGTGCTGTATGACATTCAGATTTTATAGATATTTTGCTGCACTTTACCAAGCTATGGTAGCTTTTTAACTAATGTTGAATCATCTGACTAATATTGGGGTGTCTGGTATTTCTTGAATGGAAGTTAACACCCACCAATAGAGCATCCTCTTGGAGACAGCATGAACTGCAGTAGGGAACACTCTCCCTGCTGTAGCATGCTCTTCTGCCTCCACAATGCTTTCTCTTGCCCTCCAGGATACCCTCAGGTTGGGGTAGTGCAGTGTCAGGAGACAGGAGCATCAACATGTTTAAGAAAAGTTGAAAGAGGAGGAGAATAATAACTGGACGTAAACAGGAAGAGCAGAGGGGCAGCAGTGCTTCCAGCAGGAATCCTCTTCTGCTTTTCATTCTCCTCAGCCTGAATCACTAAAGGAGTAAAAGGAGTCATTCTGTAGTGGTATCACCACTGACAGTCCTGTGCTGTAAAACTTCAGATTATCAGTTTTTGTTGGCAATAGAAAAAATACAAACCCGTTTAACAGATGAGATTGCAAGTTAATATTAGCAACCCCTACTGCCATTCATCTTCTCTTCATAAACAGAGTGTAATCAGGCACTAAAAATAAAACTATGTTTCTAAATGTTGAAACTCCCCTCCTCGTACTGAAATGTTTAACAGAAAGGATAAACATACGAGAATATCCTTTGGTTCACTTCAAATTTACATCCAAATTTCCTTCAGATGTCTTTTGCACATCTGTGCACGTAAGCTAGTCTGAATCCCTTAGATGTTTCTGCGTTCAGTGGAAAATGCTTGAGACCATTGCACCCTGATGGACTTAGACTTAAAGAGGTTTTGTGAGCAAATTTTATCTAACTTAAGCCTGATTTTAACAATATAGTCCTGTAACGGCTTCTACTTAGGCACCAAAATGTGTGACACGCATGAATCTATTCCCTTTATTTTCTTTTTTAATGGTTTTGTCAGTTTAAAGGAGGTGAAGCCTCTATGTAGACTGTAATTGAATATGCATATAAAGTAACTTGGAATTCTGATTAGTATATATTTCTATAGTATTTGTTTACTATTGTGTCTGAAAAACAGGGGTTTATATTAGCTTGAATTGTTAGTGATAGTTTTGTTTGCAAAAGCCAAAGCTCATTAGCTATTCTAAAGCTTTCATTTTTATTTTTTAAACATACGTTTTCATATTTAAACAGTTAAACTTCTCTAATTATGTGGGATTTTATTCTACCAGGCGAGATGTTTTGGATGACCTTGTGACGCTGCATAACTTCAGAAATCAGTTCTTGCCAAATGCACTGAGAGAGTTCTTCAGACACATTCATGCTCCTGAGGAGCGTGGGGAGTACCTTGAGACTCTCATAACAAAGTTTTCTCACCGATTCTGTGCTTGTAACCCTGATTTGATGAGAGAGCTTGGCCTTAGCCCTGGTAAGCAAAAAAAGATTTGATTCAGTGGATCAGTCTTTGTATTTCTGGATGTTGTTACTGTTTATGATAGTTATAAAATCAGCACCTAAACAAGTATTTCTGAAAGGACAAACATGGCTTGGGATGGTTCAGTATACAGGCATCATCCCACTTGAGATAAAAAAAGACCGAAAAACACCCACACAGATGCTCTTCTTAGAACTAGCTGATAAGTGGGTTTTATTCTCTCATTATCTTTCCTTCAGTTTTTTCTGTGCTCAAGCTCTGTACTACCTTGAAGTTCCCTCTTGCAGTCTTACACACTTAACATTTTGCCTTGTGGATAGTCTCACAGAAATGAGAAGGAATTTTGGGCCTCACTGAAGTTAACAAGTATTTATAATTGCTGGGGGGTAGCCAGTTTTCAGCAGTGGGACTGCTTACATATTTAAAGATAAGCTTTAGCAGGATGTTGACCCTAGTTTGCAAAAACTTCAAGAATCTTTTTAAATGAATGTGCACAAAGCCCTTAGTAACTTTTGGATAACATAGAAATGTTGACAGATTTCTAAACGCTAATTTGGCAATGTGCTGACATTATTACTTTGAAAATTGCTATATTAAATTTTATTTCACTGGGATAAACTTTTGAGGTGTTATATATGTGTGTGTATACGTGTGTGTGTGTATATATATATATATATAATTATAAGCCCAGATGATGAAGACTATAAGGTACGTGGACAGGGAGCAATATTTTTAATGATCACAGTTTCCTTTCAACTTCTTTTTTATTTATTCTCTCTTGTCTAGATGCAGTTTACGTACTGTGTTACTCTTTGATTCTACTTTCCATTGACCTAACAAGCCCTCACGTGAAGAACAAAATGTCAAAGAGGGAATTCATCCGAAATACACGGCGAGCTGCACAGAATATCAGTGAAGATTTTGTAGGGCACCTTTATGACAACATCTACCTTATTGGCCACGTGGCTGCCTAAAAGCACAATTTCCTAGCACTTAAAATTTGTGATTTTCAAAAGCTACATCAATTCAAGAAATTATTTTGTAGAGATGGGGGTTATTTTAGTGCTGGTCATTCTAACCTCTGTATGCAATCAAAGTTTGTGTGTGTAAGTGTGTGTGTGTGTAAACTACCTTTTCTATCTATTTACCACGGGAATAGAAAGATTTGGAGATCTGTTTTTCATAAGTTTTTTAGTTTTGCACAAAACCACAGCCTGAAGCAGCCATTTACAAATGTTAAACTGACATTACGATCTAAGCTGACAAAGTGGTGGATTTGTGCATTAGATCTGCTTGAAACTTTAAGAAGTTCATTCTTTTTAGAATACCATGTAATATGTATATATTTAACTAAAGAGATTTATAATCATAATTATTTTATTGTAAAATATTTTAACTAAAATTTCTTCTTTTATCTCTTAAATGTTGTACTTCTTTCTTTTGAATTTTTTTACAGTGCTGACTACCTCAGATACATAATTTAGAGAAATATTGGTCTGAATACTCCAATAAAGTTTACTCTAGGAGATAGCAGAACACTTGTAAAATATCTAAGATGGTATCTAATACTGCATTGACTAACTTAAATTAGCATATTGCCAACCTGCTATTCACTCAGTTTTAAAGAAGATTATAACCGCTAGTTTAGATGAATCCTGATGTCATACAGGGACAGCCTAGGGAAATCATGCAGTTTACCTGGACAGTTTACTTAACCTATATTGCAGATGCTAGTTATTGGGGACATAGGACAACCACAATTATCTATTCAGCATGGTAAGAAAGGAAAAATCTCAACAGGGAAAGTGGTAGGGGCAGCTAACATATTGCTACTTTCAACTGCTTCCCTCAGTCTAGAAGTGTCAATGATGGAAATGCCTAGGCAAATATATACCAGATGACTCGTTGCTAAAGCTGTTAAAAACTGACTGTGCAAGATCAGAGCAGTGACTGTGCAGGACTGGAGAGGTGGCTTGGACTCGGATACTCCTTCTAAGTCTGACATGTAGCTAGGTTTTAAATAGTTCTGGATTTATGAAAATACTTCAGATATGGTCTTGGTCAGGTTGTGTTTCACATTTTCTGAAGTGCATAGAATATTAATAGTGCAACTGCTGTGCATGTGCAGGAACTGAATAAGGATTTGCCTGGTTTTTGTTCAGATATCTCATAGAGCAGTGCTTTTCTTAAATTGTCATACTGTGTAGTTGAAATCAGCTGTTCCTGATTATGTTTGTTTACATAATATTCAGCTATTGCTAGCATCTGGATTCATCATGGTAACAAGTAGATTTATCCTTTTTCCCTATCACACCATGAGGTGAGGTAGGAAGATACTCTTAGTTCTGTTTTACAGATTAGTCTGATTTTTGTGTGTGTGTGTGTGTGTGTAGAAAGCCTATGGCAGAGCAAAGGATTGGATGCAAGTCATCCTCCTCATAGGCATGCACTTTGCCCACACTGCTGCTTTCCATTTGGCACCTGGGGAGTGTTACATTTGTCTTGGATGCCAGAAGAACAATGACAATGACAGCACACAAAAGGGCTACATAAATGACAGGGAGGAAACAATGTAGCTACTGCTGCAATTTCAAGTGTTTAATACGTTTTGGTTATAGCTCTGGTCCACATGCAAAAATGCACCCAGAAAAAGCTGTGGGGTTTTTATTACTCTACTTTTAATCAAGAGAAAATGCCATTTGTATTTGTAGCATACACAGCCAAAGCCAGGAGCCAGCAGCAGCACAGCTATTTTTGAGGCAGGTTTTACAGTGTTCCTCCCCTCTCTTAGGATAACTTCATCCTGTATCATTTCATATATTTCAGGAAGCCCAAGGATGCATTCCACAGTGGTTGATTAGTATCAAGCACAAATAAAGATTATATGGTATGGTGGGGAGCTTTGTTTAACGCACAACTATCTGGTCCTGTTAAAACACAAAAACAAAACCAAAACAAAACAAGCTGAAAAACTTTTAACATTATCTGTAAAAACAATGATAAAGGATAAATATCTCTGTGCTCCTTAATGTGATCTTACGGAAACTGGAGAATATGGCTTTCTAGAAAACACTCCTCAAAAGTTACACACTTAACAAGAAGAATTCAGTGAATTTTGAAATTGCAACTATCTTATCAGGAAATGTTTTCTTCTCAAACCACAAATGCAGAGTGAGAGTCTCTTCTGACTAATGTTTATGTTAACATTAGTGATACTGGTTTTGATTTTTCTATTGATACAAGAGTATGAATTGCTAATTTGCATTTCTCTTAATTTCCAGTTACCCTCTGTTCTCATTCTCAAACAGATAGAGAACAAAGCCTCCAGGCAGACAGAACATGTTTTTTCTGGAATATCTGAGTACATCTATTAACAAGGTTTAGAAAGCTTCAGGGCCAGTGTAACAGCCAAGAAAATAAATTAGAAGCAGGATGATATGGTTAAAGTTTCCATAAGACACAAGTCCAGGGGAAGAGAAAAAAACAAAACAAAACCCTAATCACATACAGATAACAGCATCTGATCTTCACAACAGGATTTTGAACTGTTAGATGGTTAACACCCAACTCATGGTGTACATTATGTTACTAACTCAGAATGGAACAGAAAACAGTAAACACAACATGCCAAGTGTAAATTCCCTTAGAGGTAACCAAGAAACAAAAAAAAAAAATGACAAGACATGTCTTCTGTCATCTTTTCTTTTTAAATTTGAGTCTTTCTTGTGGCAGAGAAGTCAGTTTTTTTCATTTTAAGAATGTAGACTTTGCATGACATTAGGCCATTTTTTGTCTTAAAAAAAAAAATAAAAATAAGCAAGTGTAACAATACTCCCATAAAGTGAGAAAGAGAAAGTTTGAATTCTCTTAGTCATCCTCTAAAACCCCTCTAGCAACCCAAGTTTTGGGCTGTGTCTTCTTCAATGAACTATTAGTACCTCCACATACATTTAAAAGAAAACAGATACTTCATTGATCCAGGTGTCACTAGATTATGGGGTGTGGAAATAGCTACTTAATAAAACACTTCAGAAGACCTAGGATAAAGTATCCCAAGCGTAATTACATGAGCAGGATCATACTCATATCTGTGAAGTGATTCCTGAGTTACTGTGATTCTACCACTGTTTGTCCTTTGAACTTTGGCCGTGAGATGTTGCCTTCATGCTGGTTGTACACAGCACTGAAGGAAGAAATGAGCCTGCAGCCCATCCCCCTGCAAACGCTGCTTAATTCTGGTCCTAAAAGACACCAAAATTGTACACTGAATGAGTGTTTCTGAAATTTTGCTAACTTTAGTGTATCCAGAGGTGACAGAAGGACAACAGTTCTTTGTTCATGTAGGGGAAGTGAGTGTACCTGGGTCCATGTACAGTGTCATATATTACAGATCATTTTTGCCTGTAATAAATTCTGAGGTTCTCATTGAATTTATTCAAGGAATACAGCATATATTATGTATTCACATGGTTTAGTTATAGACAGTGTCTCATACTCTCCGTTTTCGCAAAACTTTTTCTGTCTTAAATACTTTCCATACTCTAAACAGCAGATTTATTCAGCTTTGGCTTTTTAAAATAAATCAGAGCTGCTTCGACATACAAAAGCCCAAACAACTGTATGTCAGAGACACGTTTGTCAGTTTTGAAGTGGGCAAGAAATTTGCATTCTGGGAAAAAAACATAAATCAGTTTGTTCTCTTAAACCTTTCCCTCCCACCCCCTACATTGGAAAAAGAAAAATTACAAACAGTTTCAAAATACAGATTTAGGAAAATAAACTGTCTAGCTGGGCAAATAAATGTTACTATTTCCTCATCAGTATACATCAGTTTATTGATGTTCTTCACATAAATTTATCAACAGGAATTGCTCTTTTTTGAAGTTTTGTTTTCTCTGTAAGGCTATCATTGTGTAGTCTGATATTTTATAGTTTGGATTTTAGAAAACAACTGTTAAATTAAGTACTTAAGCAAAATTGAGATATACCTACTTGATCATGTTAAAATGTCAAAATAACAGCATTAAGTATTTAGAAAAGCCAGATTTAGTTGTATTCTATTGAATTGGGATTTTTTTTTCTTTTCACGTATTTCATGTAAGTATCAAAACTAATAAACATTAAGGCTGATGACTTGTTCTCTGCCATTGTAAAATCTACCACTCTAATCTCAAAAGCACTATTAAAATGAACAAAGAACAGACTTAAAGGATTTCCTGTGTCTCCCATAGGCACATTATGGTTTCATTTTGCCTTAAAGAGAAATAATATACAAACTTTTATAATCTGCATATAATAGTGATTTTAGTAAGATAAAATTTTATGTAAGCTTCTAATATTATTTATCAGATGTTAAAAGTTAAGACTTACCATACAATGTGTGTAATTAAATCATAACCAGATAGCTAGGATTAGTTACAGAAATGAACATGTATGTAAAAAGCTTCAGAGAGATCACATTGCTCCTTCATCAGTTCAGTGCTTTTGCTGACAATGATGTTAGTAAATTTGCAGTTTTCCTTTCTTACTCATATAAACAAGCTTAGAAAAGAGATGGATTAGAAGATACTTACACAGAATACTTCCATTTCTTACGTGATTTTTTCTTGAGTTAAAAATGAACTTTCTGTATTTGCTTTATAATTTTAAAAGGCAAAAAAATGCAGTTCATTGAAAGACAGTAGAGGCTCTAATTTTCATACGTTGTTCACCTCGTACAGAAAACAAGCAAAAAGCACTTTTCAGATTCCTAGCAATCTAATGCATTATTTTTTAAGCTTAAAAATACTACTTATTGAATATGTGTACATGACAGAAATCAAGCATATTTATGTGAAAGCAGCATGGTCAGGATACCAGTTCTTTTCAGAGAGAATACTAATTTGTAAAAGTTAGCTTTCTTCTTGGCAGCATTGGAGAGGAATGTTGGATTTAATTTAAAATGATTAATGAGATTTTGTCAGACTCCCTGCCTTTACCACCACTGCAGTTTGTCAGCACAACAACCTGGGAAACCCGGACGCCACTCTGTCGCCCAAAACAGCTTTCCAGGAAAAAATAAACCTGAGTAACTAATGCCAGGTACATGTCAATGCTATTGTCTTTCAGCTGTTGAAAGTTTAACTCTGAGTTCAGACATTTACACATTCTGAGGAAGTGAACCTCATTCATTATTTCAATAGTCTGGTTTTGACAGTGAATGCCAGTATAAAATGAACTTTTCAGAGCAGGCATAACCTTTATTATTAGCCTTGTGGAAAATGCTGTCATACATGCAGATGAGAAATTCTTTAAGAGGAAAAAGAATAGCAAAGCTTGTCCAGGTAAGCTTTTTCTGGAGAAAGACCACCTATGCAACCTGTCTCATTTTTGGCTGCATTCCATCAAGAGAATCTCATCATCCAAGCCCTACACCCATGGGTAGGCTGCCAAGTGGCAGGGAATGCTCTGTTGGACTCGAGGTGAACACGTGTGTGCACACATATGCTAATAGCCAATCCCCAACAAGTTCACAATACTTTTCATATGTAACAGTAACAAGAAAATGAGCAATTCTTTTGAAATGTACGGTAGGTACTGAAAATTATTTACGATTTGTCTGTTTCACTTTCCTTGTGGGATTTTGTTCCGTTGGGCTACAGCTTGAGCATTGTGTTCTTCTGACGCATGAAATATACAAAAAATGAAGACTTTCATTTCCAAAGCAGCCTTCCCCTTCCAGGGAAACATACATCTTCCTGGGCTGTGCAGGTCTTTCTGCAGTCACATAACCCTGTATCAAAAAACTGACCTTTCCTTCACTCCTGTAAACCTGTTTACACATAGTTTTATCCACTAAGCAGGCTGAGAATCCTGTGAGGCTTCACAGGGATATACATGGTGAAAAGGACTTTGTACTGGTTTGCTCCACCATGCAAACCAGTCCTCATGGGGCATGATGCCACAGGTATGATTTTGCATGATTTCTGTTATCTTAGCTATTTCTTATATGTGAAAAGTATTGTCACAACTGCTGTTTCCCCATCTTCACTCCATAGTTCAGTCTAATTGCCATAATTACATGTAACACAATTGAATTGAAATATTTTTATAACTGGAGACCTTAAGCTTGCTTGCCTTCTGCAGAAATCACAGAACTGCTTTAGGAGTGCCAGAGAAGTGCATCTCTCAGTGTGCTGCTTGGTGACAATCAAGATCCTCCATTTTTTTCTTATTTCTACTTAGAAATTTATATCAGTAAATGTATTTGTTGCTGTTCCTTTCTGTCTAAAGTCTGACAGTATCTTTTCTGATTTGTACTAGAAAAAGATAGTCTTGTTGGTCTGTTGGGTTTGAGGTTTTTTCCCCCTGGCATAACAGCAAAATTTACAGTAGATACACAATGTTCAGCTAGCACAGTAAAAATGTGGTTTAAAAATACTTTAACTTTTTTCCCCTGTATATAAAGTTTGGATATGTAGTAAAATACAGAAGTAACATTAGTAATCAGCTTTTGTTAAAACTTTTTTCAGCTTTATTGAAAGTAAATCTATCCATATATCATTTCCTTTTCTTGATATTAATTGTTCACAATGTACATTGTGCTGCATAACATACTGAAAATCACAGCATGAAGGCCTAATTTAAAGATTTAAATGGTACATTGTGCTGAATTCCTGTATAAAGTAGAATTTATTTAAAATCATAAAGTCCCTGAAATGTCTTGAGAATTCTTTTGAATAATTTGGTAATATTAAAATAATAAAATTTATGGTCTGGGTATAAAGACGCAAATTAGTAAAAGAGGGAGAAAGCCAAAGGAAGACATTTTCTTTGATAAGACTTTTCATTAAAGTTTTCATTAAAACTAAATTTTTTTTAGTTTCAATGCAGATTGAGACAGAAGGTTTGAAGAGGTGAGATCAGCAGTTTCTGTAAGCAGATACCTGGTCCCAGTCATATCTGTACCTTATCCTCCCTCTTTCCTAAAGCGGTAACAGCCTTCCTACCCTGCCCAGCAAGTCTGCTCCTCAACACAGCTGTCCACAGTGAGGCTGAGCAGTCTTCCTTTGATGCCTACTCTTCTCTTCCCCCCAGTTAGAAAATGGACTGTGTGTAATCTTGTTACTGTTAAAATATAAAGTGTTCTCTGTAATTTCTTAACACTGGTTAAATAACAGAAACAAAATATATTAGTAGTTAGGATGTACTCTCAGTGAGTGCCGATATCTTTTAAGTACAGTCGGTTCTATTATACAAAAGAAATAGAAAAGGAAGCCCACGTTGCAAATTACACAGCATTATGTCAGTAACTTCAATCTATCTCATGATTTTTCCAAACTTATCCTTAAATTAATTTCACAAATGTTGATTAATGATCTTTAGTCTATTTTAGAAGCTGTTCACCACATACTTGAACTAAGCAGAATTTTACATAGAGAGAGTACACTCGGAGAGACTTGTCTGCATTATCCTTACAACACACCTAACAAGGTACAGCCTAGTAAAATTCTGGCCCCACTGTTGTCAAAAGCAAATCTGTAATTCAAAGAAGAATGGTCAGGATGTCATGGTTTGGAACAAGCAAAAGATTAGGAGTACGTTTAATGCCTCACCCTGTGACAGCCCCCTCTTTAAGCTGGTAGCACTGTGTTATCAATTCCTACATAGCAGTATTCTCAAATCTTTTCTGATAACCTGTTCTCAGAAGAGAAACAAAAGCAGGTTGAATTTCTGGAGGCTTTATGCTTACTACAAGTCAAAAAGCATTTAACCTCAGAGAAAAAAAAGAAATAGTAAGTAAATAAATATGTCCATGATGCATGGGAGATCTGTAAAATACATTTTTATTTACAGTACAGAGTTGCACCTGTACAGGCATAGAAGAATATTGGTCTAAAAGAAAAGGTGTGTCAGTTTCAGTAAATTATGATCTAATTTTCTCAAGCAGAGAATAAAGTGCCTTTTTGATTTTGCTTACTTTGTAGCCCGGTCTCAGGTTATGGGTGTACCACATAATCTAGCAAAGGAGAATTTGCGTGTTCATAGGCTGATGAATAGTAACCTGTCTGCTCTGGCTGGCACTTCTCACAAATAGCCTTTGGTGAGTCAGTAGCAGTGTTTGTAGAAGAAAGATCTTCCAGGAAGTGATGTGTCACCTGCCATATCACAATTTAGAAGGTGTGCTCAAAGGCTGAAGAAAGCCAGGTTGGGTGGAGTTTTTATCCTATCAGTCAGGTGTATGTATTGTGTACTTCTCACCCCCTTTCCTCCTTCTTCACTATCTTCATTTCCAAAAAGGCTTGTTTATGTAATTCTTAACAACCATTTATCAGGGAGGGGTGGAGGGGGGTTGGAGGGGAGGAGAAGTGTTGGGGCAGGGAAGGGAAGGAAGACTGTGAATCTTTGGGGTAAAAAAAAAAGGCGTGAAATTTCAGAGCTTTTCTGTAACATTAAAATATTCTTCCTGTGGTTAACAAAAATCTTTGTGAATAAAAATTGTGAACTTCACGTGAGCCCAAACTGGTCCACTGATACCTGAGAGTGGAAGAGTCGCATTACAATTACTACATCAGAAAGTTAAAATGTGGAGCTAGTGTTACCATGCTCACAAAAATATCACATCAAAGGTATTAAATATTTACAGAATTTTTATCTATTTTTTTATTGTTACTTATTTCATGTACAATTTTAACTGGAAACTGTCAATTAATACTTTTATCCCTCATTGTGTCAGTCTTATCTACTACAGATCAAGCCAAGTTTCTGTGAAGGGTTTCCATAATACATTGGTATGGAAAATAGTACATCAGGTTCACAAGAATAAAGCTTTGACCAGTGAAGCTCTCACTTAAATGGTGTTAAATATAAATCGTTGTATGAAAATGAAAAGTGAGCCAGTGATCCAATCCATTTTAAACACAAGTCCTCCCAGGGAAAGTCTTAGATGTAAACAGATGAATAACCCAATCCCTATTCTGCTGAGATTACACATCTTTGAATATGTGCCTTTAAATTGCAGAGAAGCCAATGAAACCGATTTCCCATACTATTTATGTCTGTAAGACCCAGCCATCTTGGAAGGGCAGCACTAAAAGCTGCTCTCCTGATATGAGTAGTATTTGTCTCAGGCTCCTTATATGACTTGTTTTAACAGATGACAACCATGAAGGGAAAGTGAGTTTAATACCGAGTTTATTCGTGATAGGAAAACTTTCAGAACAAATGCAGTTAATTGCAGCAAAAGAAAAACATGCATGATAATGGCTCCATAGAGGCAATGCAGCAACAAGGTCTTTCCAAAGCAAAACCATCACTCCAGTCCCCAGTTTTACAAGCTTGTTTGCCAGGTTTCACCAGTTGGGAAAAGCTCCCTTTGGTACTCCCTCCCAAAGCACAGCTGCTGTTCCCCAGCATCATTCCCCCACCAGGCCAAGGCAGTCCAGGCCTTTACTTCATACTCACTATCCAGAAGAAGGGGCCACAGTTTCAGATTACAGCAACGTAAAAACAACAACCCACCATTTCTGTAGCACCAGCCACTTCCCTGTTTCAGTGAAACTCGTAATTTACACCAGCTCAGAATATGCCCTTCTCTTTTAAGTCCTGAAGCTTGCTTTTCTCCTACCTTGCTATGTAACTATTTTCTCTGCATTACTTGGATGTTTCAGATCTGCTGTGCTCCTTGCAGTATGGATTGCTTGTTCATACATCTCCTCCTGCAAGCCAAAGACTCAGTGTCAGAAAGAGAAGGCACAAATTCCACACTGGGTAGAGCTCTTATTATCAAAAGAGCACTAAATAAATAAATAAATAAATAAATAAATAAATACAGTGCATTTGCCATGATCTATCCCTGGATACAAATATGTTTCAAATTAAAGAAAGACTAGATATGGCTGCAGCATAAAGAATACTTTGCCGAGTAGAAAATCTGGTAAACTTATGTCTTTTCCAGATATATCTACTACATTGTACTTTAAAATTACCATCATGTTTTTCAGCCACATATTCTTGAAATTGTGTCCCTGACTGTTAGTATAATAGGGTTTTTAATTTTTTTAAAGTCTTCAACTTTCTTAGACACTTTTTTCTTTCCTTTCTCTCTTCTAACATCTCCCTCGCTGGTATTAAAACATACAACATAACCTAACTTCCTAACAAGACTGCCTACTTCTTCACTGTGATTTCATGACTTCGTCAGGACCTTTCTAGATACAGCTTCTCCTAGAAAGGTTTGGGGAGGGAGAGGGAAGTAGGGGAGAGGTGTCAATACTACAAAGTTGACAGGGTTTATATGTATGTATTTATGCCTTGTATATGTCCTAGGCTCCTGGTTTGCTTGCTTGCCAGTATAATTGATTGACTGCATCCCGAAAGATGTTTATAACAACCTGCAAGTCCCGTATTTTTGCAGATCTGCGAACGCCCGAAGAAAAGCAGGGACCCGGTGAGCTCCCTGTTGGCTCCGTTCCTGCAGCCTCAGATAGGAGCGTTATTCTGGCGGTGCTTATAACTAACACTGCCAATGAGCTGCCCTTCTTCCTTCGCCCCCACCCCTCCCTGATCTTTAGGGCAGCCCACGCAGCCGAGGGTATCTGCGCGGCCGCGGCACAGCTAAACGGCTCTCGGGGATTGAGGGGCCGAGCCGGGAAAACTAATCAGCGTGTCTGTGCCCCGGCTCTGGGGACAGCGGGGTCCTGGGGTTTCCTGTCTGTTTCAGGGGCGTCCCCGTCATCACAGGGTGACAACCGGATCTCGCCACTGGGAGATAATAGAATATAAAATAAAATTTAAAAAAATAGAAAAGAAATAAATCCGTCCACAGATTACGAGGTTTACTCCAATTCAAAGCATCAGGCTGGGCTTTGCTCCACCTGCCAGGGCCCAGGGCCGGGAGGATCCCCCTGCCTTAAACCTCCCTGCTCCCGGGGTCTTTTCCATGTGGATCCCATTATCATCATTTGCTCCTAGTATAAAGGGGATTAAAGCGATTAGAAAGAAAACAATTAAATGATCTTTCCATTTACCTTTTCATGACGGTTGCAAGCGGAAAGGGGGACGGGCTTTTACTTGGAGCAACCGAGATAGGGTTTCTGACTCCTTTTAGAAGGGTTTATTTTTGAAGGAAAGGAGGGGAGGGGGGACCCTCGCCACTTGTCAACTGTTTTCCAAACACTATATTAATGCTGGCCAGACCTCTGTCGTACGTAACGTGACCCTAGTATTTTCCAACCTGTAATCGTTTGTTAAGTCTCAGCGTTGAATAATGAAAGCAAAACAAAATCCCAAAATTCTCAGACGCTCTGGAGTGGGGTTTGTGTTGTTCTGGAGTGGAAAGGTGGGGAAAAAGGTTTGGGGGCTGTTTGGTTGGCAGGGGGGAGGGCTGTGTTTGTTTTTTTTCCTACGACAAGCAAAATCCCTGTATTTCAGCATTGGAACAAAGCCATAATCCTGACGAAAGGATTTAAACATTTTAGAATAACAGACAGATTTTAATCTAATGATGGGGATAACCTTTCTTCAGTCTCTTTTCCTTTCCAAAGGAAAGTGCTCTGAACGAGCGGCAATCCCCCTTGTACCCATACGCTCCCACTCGCGCTACAGCCAAGCGTTCACGTAAATATCTTTATGAACCCGTATTTCAGTTTTTGCTGTTTTCGTTTGCACCGATCCAACGAAAGAGCTTAGAACCTTGTCCACGGAAAGGTAACATTTCTAAACGTTAATTAGCCACGCCACAAGCGCCTTCGCTTTCTTTTTCTTTCCAAGTCACGTTAACATTAAAGAGAGTATGAACCTACAGGGGCCCACCCGGAGAAATTCGCGCAGTGGATTTAAAGGGATGAAGACTCCCCAGAGACTACAGGAGCTGCGCCCATTATTCTCCCCACCACACGCCAGTGGTGCCCCCCATTCCCGGGTCCCCGCCCCGCTGTCGGGGCGGGCTGGGGGCGGTGGGACCGACCGCGCCGGCACCGCCTCCCATTCCAGCTTCGCTCCGGCTCCGCTCTGCCGCTGCCCGCAGACACGGAGTCACCGAGACCCGTCTCTGACCTCTGAAATGGGCACAGTCGGCAGCACAGCCCTCCCCTCCCCGCTTCACAACTGAGTGACACCGACCTAAACTCAAGGGTTACGCCCCCGAAAGCTCCAGTGGTGGTAGTGGAGGAGGTAGATGAGCCGGAGACATTCAGAAAATGCGAAGTGTACAGCCGTAATGCCTCTGCTACCTGAAGGCACAACGCCAGAGCGGATAATTCCGTAAACTAATCACTCCGTTTGACAACAAGCAGATCAAAAAGAGAATCTCGTAGGAAGAACGTCAGGATCTGCAGGGGGGAGAAAACATTTCTGTGCTCCCTGCACATGCGAAAACCCCGACAGCAATGGTGTGGGTGCTCGGCTCCCAGCGTCTCTGGGCGTGCCGGCTGCCCACGGGCACACCTCGGCTTGGTCGGCTTAAAAAGCTTCTTCTAAAGCTGAAAAATCTCTGTTATTTAAAATAGTAGATCCTTCAGGGTGAAGCGAGGAGGACAAATCCCGTTTGTCGTCAGAAGTTCATTTTCAGCTACTAGAGGAGTTTCTCACTCTAAATATTTTTCTTTCCTCTATAAAAGTTATTGCCCTGCTTTCATAGTTACTAAAAACTTCATTCGGCAAACCGAAGCCTAAATCCCGGCATTCATGTGGCAGTAATTCCTTTAATAAATACTTGGCATTACCGCGCAGTGCCCCTTGCCCGTGGGTCTCCTCCACAATCCAGGCAGTGTGATTTCTACCCGCCGAAGGGGTCATTAATACCAAACCCGCTGGCGCGAGCCGCTCCTCCATCACCAATAAAGTCTTTACAGCCGCGAAAAGGGCTCTGAGAGTGTCTTTGTAGAGCCTGCTTTTCCGCGGGCGCTGCCTGAGCGCGGTTTTCTCTAATGCCCCCTTTCCTGATCTTATTACCTGGTTTGCAGTTTATGGACACTAAAAGCTCCCGCATGAGGGGAAGGGGAGAGGCAGGGCGCGGAGCAGGTGCCGCTCCGCGCAATTTTTATTTTTCTCCTCTTTAATGCAAAATAGGCAAACCCTCGGCTTTACTCCCACCTCCCCAGCCCTTCCATTTCTTCGCGGAAGAAGCGCAAGGAGCGCCGGAGGCGTAATGCCTTTTACCCTGGCATCGGCACCAAGGGGTCCGCTTGGCTGTACAGCGCTCCTCTCACGCCAGCATCTCCGCCGGCGCGCAGCGGCCGCGGGGCTGGCGCTAAGAGAGAGAGTAAAGCGAGGCGAGGGGGCTACTGGACAAGACGCTTTAGGGCTGCGGACTGTCCCCCCCCGACGCCCGCCGGCGCGGAGCCGGCTGTGTCCGCCCCCCGGCGTAGGGCAGGCAGCTGCCGGGAACAGGGCAGCCAACGTGAGGAAACGCCGAGAGGAGCGGAAAGGAGAAAGAGGGGAAGAAATAACCGAACCAAGCCAACAAACCTCAAACCACCACCGACAAAACCGCCCAGCCTACAGCGACCAAATCAGGTTTACCTTTCGCGGCCCGAGGGATGCCATAACTCTCCCTTCTGTCTGGACGGGCTCCCCTCAGAGGTCCGCCGTCCCCTCCGGTAGCCGCTCCGTCTGCCACCTAGAATGACACACCAGCGCGGTAACACGCTGCAGCTGCCCCGAGGCCCGGGCACGGCGCCTCACAGCCGTGCCCATGAGGGGGGAGACACCACCACCCCTCCCTCCATATAAGGCTCTCCGGGAAAGCCCTGGAGGACCGGCCGGTGCCGAGCATCGTCCTCGCCGCTTCGGGCCACCCCACCCCGCCTTACACGAGGAAATCTTCCTTCTCCAACAATAGTACCCTGGAGGTTTCGGTGGGTTTGGTTTTATTTCTGAGGGGATGTTCTTAGGTTCAGACCCTCCGACGTGCTGGGAAAAAGCCGCCCACTCATCGGGGCCTCCCCGGGCACTGGGGCGGGGGTCAGCCCCTCGGCCGGAGCCCTCTCCCGCCCCGACGGCCCGTTAAACCCCGCTCCGCCACTCGCAAGCCGATCCTCGGGGTCAGGCTGTCAGGAGTCCTCCCTCGTCCGGCCGTTTGGTTTAAAACTGCCTCCGGAGAAGCACAAATAAATAACTTATTCTGGAGGAGGGGAAAAAAAATTAAACCCCCAAGCTGACAGGAGCTACAGGCGCTAAATACGTGTAGGGACGGGAGAAAGAGCAAAAGTAAATAAATTTCCGTTACTTAATTGAAAGGCAGAAGCTAGCCCTTTGTGTACACAGCGCTTCAGGGAGAGGAAAGCCAGAGCAGGGGCGCGGGGGGAGAGCTGGGGCCGGCCGGGGGTCTGCCGCCGCCTTCAGATCCAGCCCCGCTGCTTCCCCCACACGAGGGAGGAAACAAGGAAATAGTAATAGTAATAGTAGTAGTAGTAGTAGTAATAATAATAATTTGTTACGATAATAATAACAATAATACGAGGAGGGGGAGGAAGAGGAGTCCAATAACATGGAAGAAGTGATGGGGGGCACACACGGAAAGCTTACCTGGCACTGAGGAGCTGGGATATTTACTTGAGAAGCTGGAAAGGGCTGCGGTGACAGTGCTGGACATGAGAGTGGGCTGCGCCTGGAACACCATCGAGAAACCTGAAGTGAGGCTGAAAAGGTGCAAATAAAAGCAAATGAAAGGAAATACCACTTTTTTTTTTTTTTTAATTTTCTTTTAATCTGTCTGTAAGTCGCCTGTGCTGCTCGAGGAGTGCAGTGGGACTACTGAAACAACACGGCCTTTTATCTGTGTAAAAAAAAGGCTTTTAATGCTTTTTTTGCTTTTCTTTTTAACTAAGTGCTTTGGCAAATATACTCATGTTTCTCTGCACAGAAGCCAAAGAATCAAACACAGTCTCCAAAATCAGTTATATCTTGATTATTTGGGGCAAAATCCAAAGCTTTCTAATTCTGTGCTAATATGATAAAGGACTGTAAATGAATCTCTAGAGGAGGCTTTTTGGTGTCTCTTATACACTGACAAGTTTTTTTCTCTGCATTTATCATCATGTCAAATAAATCCCCAAATGTATGGGATGACGCACACAACCAAACCCTTTCACTGTGAAGATATTCACACCATGTTTGCTTGAAGAATCAGTCTCTTCTTTTTCAGCTTGAAAGCATGCATAATACCAAAGGACACTCTGAACACGCGCTTCCAGACTGCAAATCAATCTTATTCCTTCCTCTAAGCCCCACAGTAATTAGTAACAACTGCAATTAACAGCTTCAGTTTAGTGTCTCATGGTGTTCTCCAAAGGAAAATATACTGATAATCTGCACTTGGCACATCTTAGTGTTACTACCATATGCAGAGCAACTCTCACACGTTTTCTTTCTCAAATGTGACATTCCAGGCGTCTCTCTCCAGGGTATCCAGGGGAGCCTTACCCTACCAGTCTTGAACCGGTTTGCAACAATTCTGCCCCTTCCCAAGTCAGCCTTGCCTTCGACACTGATTCCAGAATCTTTTCCATTAAAACCAGCAGGCTGGTGACTCCAAGGGCCATATAACCAGTTCCATTCAACTGTTTCAGTTAAGAAAAGAAAATCAGTCTGTTAACAGACCTGTCCTAAAACTGAATTAATGTGCACATATGCATATTTCTACCAATGCGAGTAATTTTTCTGATACCTCTCCTGTATATTGTGGATGCAGTCAGCAGTGTCTTTGCAACTAATATGTTATTATATATGACATTGTCGTGGTTTAAAGCCAGTCAGGTAACTCGTTCGCTCACTCCCCCCCCTTCTTTCCCTCCCCCTACTACCGGAGGGACGGAGAGGAGAATCAAAAAGAATGCAACTCCCACGGATTGAGATAAGAGCAGTTTAGTAACTAAGGTATAACACAAATCACTACTGCTACCACCAATAATAATAATGATAAAGGAAATAACAAGGGAAGAGAATACAACACCTCAGCACCACCCGACCGATAACTCACCCCCCCCAGCCTGACCAAGCACCGACCGATACCTCCTCCAACCCTGCAGACTCCCAGCCCTTCTGGCTAACTCCCAGTTACATCCTGGGCGTGACGTGCTGTGGTATGGAATACCTCTTTGGCTAGCTTGGGTCAGGTGTCCTGTCTCTGCTTCCTCCCGGCTTCCCCTCCTCCCTGGCAGAGCATGAGGCTCACAAAGTCCTTGGCCAAACCAAAACATCCTTGTTATCAGCTCTGTTCCCGAGCTGAAAGTCAAAACACTGCACTGCACCAGCTACCAAGGAGAAAAATGACTGCTACTGCTGAACCCAGGACAGACATATATATATAATAACATATATAATGTTATTCCATATGTGTATAATATTCTTGATATGCAGGTGCATATCTGGGTTTACCAGGAACAGAAAGGTTGAAAGGGACCTGTTTAGTATCATCAACACTATCTAGTGTTGTGCATCCACTCCTAATCAGATGGTGCAACTACAGAAGAGCAATGGCCTCTTAATTCACAGCACCATAAATGTGACTGCAGAAAGACTTACAAAAAATAGCTATCATCTTCATTTACTGTTTTCATTTCCTACTATCTCAATTTTCCAACTAACAGAAACAGTGTTTTGAAAGTGCAGTTTTATGTAGAAATACAAAGCTGATCAGAAAAAGAAGTAAGGTTAATTTATTCCTTAAAAAGGTGTAGCCATTCATGAGGTGTAGAAGTGAAAACTTTTGATTGCCTAAAAAATTAAAATCTTCTTAAGTTTTAAAAAGAAAGTGTACTTTTCATTTACAAGTTCACTTCTAAGGTTTAGTTATGGAAATGTTCTTGAGTTATGGAAATGTTCTTGGATTACTTGCTGCACAGGCAACTACAGACTTTTAAAAAGGAAATTTTGCTCCAAGAGATCCCATTGGTGACTTCCAGTGCTCCTAATGGAGCGCAGCAGCAGTTGCTCAGTAGTTAGCAGCATTAATCAGGATTCTGAGTCCTGCAGTTTAAAGCAGTGAACAAGTAAGGTAAACAGCTATAAATCCTTATGTCTTGGAGAGAAATCCTACATTAGCCTATCGTGTGAAAGGGTAGAAAAGAAGGCAAAAAGAGCCTTTTCTGGCTCTGTTGTCAGCATGGAAATTTTCCACGATAGTACTAGCATCAGGTGAGAGTGTGGATGGAGCTCTGGCTGGTGTGGGGGAGAATTCTCTCTTTAGGCAGCTGAAAGTGGCAGGGTCAGAAGTTTGCTCACAGGAGAAATGTCATGCCTCAGGAACAAGTCAAGAGAGAAATGACTACTGGTAGGCAATTATAGTATTGGTCTGGCTATTCAAAATACTTTGGTTCTCTTCCTATTTTTCTGAGAGTCCAATCAGACAGACCTTGAGTCCCCCCAAGTGGTCTCAGGTGTTGCTTACTGCTTTGTGCAGTGCAATGTTGAATAGGACATTCTGGGAGGTTTCCCAAAGGCTCATGCAAGGACAGGAGTGGTGTTTACTGCCTGTGACCCTCTACTGAGACATTTCTCAGAGAAATCTGATGCAGTGATCTGATCTGCTTCCTCACTTTCTAGGATGGGACAACCATGATTTCTCCTCTTGCATTGGGTCCACTGGAATATACAGAGAAATAGGGATGGAAATTTTTGAATAAGCATGAAAGCCATTTTCATGGCTGGACATTCCTGTATCAGATTCCTACATTCTTGCTTTTACAGACTTCAGAAATATGTTCTCTGGGTGTTGGCATGAGATGGAAGGTGAGTGTTACCCAAAGGAGCATGTAAGGAGCCAGGGCTCCTGAAGAACTGTCCCGGTACTAAACAAAGAAGAGCTGGGAAGATTGTGCTGAGTGATGTTAGTTGGTTTTGCAGTCAGCACAGATATCCAGAAGCAGTGTGTCTCCATTTGTGCGAGCCAACAACCCTGACAAACAGCTCATGAGCCCTATGGTGGAAGTAGTATTCAGGCAAGGCTTATTTGGCTAACTTGCAAGTTGCGGCTAAGCTGCTTTTAGAAAGTCTATGTGCCTGTCAAGAATAGAAAGAAAAGGAGAAGCACATATACAAAATTGCACAATTGTATGCTGAACTTTATTTATTTTCATCCCTGAGGAACAGCTCAGTGTATACAAATGTAGGAATATATCTTTGATGATGAGAGGACATTTGGTCAAAACAGGGCACAGGTGAAATAGAGTTAAACTTTAAAGAACTGGGTTTCTTTCTGTGTGTCTGTTGTAGACTTTTTGTTTGTTTGTTTGTTTTTAGGAAAAGAGCCCTACTGCCAAAAACTAGATACTTCATTGTTACAAATTCATAAACACTGCAAAAGTTAATCTATATTCTAAAAAGCCTCAGTTTTTTTTCAACTCTATTTTGCTTAAAAGTGATTGATACGAGATTGATATGAGAGTCTATGTGCCAAAGCCCTGCCTTGAAGTAGACTTACTGTTTATGGCTCTCTAGTCTGTTAAAGAATCGAAAACTTAACCATAGTTCACAGTATTCAAATATTTCAGCTATCCTGAAGACAGCTATTCTTTTTCCTGGGTTAGTTTGACCTTGCCATTTTACCCTGACTACCAGAGGACATTGGCATGCAGGTGAGGAAAGAACAAAGTACTGAACTTTTCCAGCAAAACAATATCAGAGTACATTGTGTTATTAGAGATGCTCCAGAACACATACAGGTGATAAATTAACATTTTTCTCACCTTTCTGAAGCCAGAAAACATCTTTACTTGATACAGCACATTCAACCCAAATTCTCAAGGGCTGATTGCTAAGGTGGTTACATGAGAATTTACAAAACAACTAAATTTGCGTGATTTGTTTATGATTACTGAAAATTGCCTGTGGCGACAAAACCTAAAAGTCACAATTATGGATTAAGCACAATAAAATTTTTAAGATTTATGAATCACACTTTTGGACTCATAGATTCAATTCTGCTTTCAGTTTGTGTCCATATTACTTAAATTCCATAATTGTGTACTTTCTGATTCTAAAGTTTCCTGTGTACCTTGAATTTGAATCTGAACAACCACAACTGAAACCTGAGCCCACCTAGAACCAAGAAAGTATACATTTCTCCACAGAAGTTCCCTGAGGTGCCTTATTCAAAGACATCTTACAGTACTACTTGGTAATCGCTGAATCAAGTTCCTTATCAAATGCAATTATATATATTACATATATATAACTGCAATTATAAAAAAAGAACACACAGCTTTGCTATTGTTGCTCAACTTAGTCAAACACTGAGGAAATGGAAGATTCTCTTTTTTGTGATTTCTCCTTTTTCAAGGAGAATACACAATTCTGTATTTAAAAGGAATTGAAGAAATGGAGTAGAAGTCAAAGGATACATGGAGTTACCTTGCTGCTCCATGGAGTATTT